TGTTAATAATAACACAATATTATGATAATTATTATATATGTATATATATATGTAACCAATTCTTGAAACTAAGGGCTAATATATGCTACAACCGCGGACGTCGATGCATAAAAATTGAGTAAAGCAGAATGAACACAATAATGAAACGTATTCTCAATTTGAATCCATTTCAATGAATATATCATATTCATACTTTGATTTAATAGGTTCCAAACGTAACGTTTCATTGTTGCATTCATTATTACTACTTTTATTTCTACACAGACATCCATGATCGTGGCACACATTAGCCTTAATTTCATAAGTTTTGGTTTATACGGACTTTTGTCTGATTTTTTCTTCTAATTAAATAGATATATTAAGAATGCAGAAAAGTTTAAAAAAGGAATACAATAATTAATATATTTTATACAAAAATTAATATATAAAAAGTACTTGTGGCATATATATAATAAGATAAATAGTGTATATACCTGAATCACTATTATTAGATTGCTGTTGCTCATTTTCACCTAATGCTGCTTCAAGAAATTTCGTCATACGAACTATCTCTACAGCTGCTATTGACTGTCGATAATGGCGTTTATGAATTTTCTCGTGATGTCCCATAAAGTTCGCCAAATCATCCACTTCATTGTCAGATAAATTTAACGTAATGCATGTTGTAGCAATATGTTTACGTAATTCAGTACCTCTTAAAAAATGTGGTATTTGTGCATCACATTTTTTAGAAAAATATCGCATAAGGATACACGCTCTTAAATATTTGAAATGACGTTTGGTACTACTAGGTATGCCAAACACATACGGATTTTTCTCAGGAACATTTGCATCCTTTCGCTGGTTCAAAATTAGTTCAACACATTGAACTAATACCATGTCTAAAATCACAGGCACTGTACGTCCCAATTTTCCACGAATTAAGAATCTTACGTATTTATCAGCAACCTATATACAAAAGTTATATATGGATTATTATTTTGCATCATATACCATATTGTGTGTAATTTAATTATAATATTTGTAAACAAATAATATTTATACATAATATTTATAAATAAATTTATCATATTTAATACTTTGTGTAACATCATCTTTCCTCAAAACTGGGAATAAAAATTTTCTTACTGTCTCAATTGCACATTCATGAATTCTGCCCATCAAAGCACGTCCTAAAACTTGTACATTTCTGCCTTTCGATTTTCCTACACATTCTTTAAAATGATGCCTGATATTATTTTTAGTGAACCATCCTTTACACTTTGCGCAACTTATAAAATCTTGTACTGTTTTGCAACTATTTTTGGCAGGCCTTCGACAAACAATTAATTCTCCCGTATTTAAGAAAGGATCCGTATTATGTATGAAATTCCTTTTTTTTCTAATAGACTCTATAATTTGTTTTCTTTCTAAATTACCTGCAATGAGAATATTAAGTAATGTATATATAATGTAAATAATGTATATATAATGTAAATAATGTATATATAATGTAAATATATTAATAAAAATTATAACATATTAATATATTATATTTAACAAATAATCAATATTTATAAAAAAATATACTATAAACTTAAATAATTATACAGAATTGAAAAATATGATCACCTTTTGGTAATAATACAAATTTCTTTACTTCAGGTTCCAATTTATGCACGTTTTCTAAATGACGTGCAATTTTACTCTGAAACTTTTTGCAATAGTAGCAAAAATTTTTTTTTTGATGTCCCTTAGGTTGAGAAAATGGAACATATAAATTGTCTTCTCTACAACCAAATGTATTGATAGAAGAAAGATCTATCAGTGATTCTGAAGAATTTTTATCATTAGTTGCAGATACTTTATTGCGGAAGCTTTCATGTTCCGTAATTTCTTTGTCAATTGTAATTTCCAATGCTGAAGGTACATATTCCAAAATACTTGATGAGTTTGCAGAAGCAATATTGTCATTAATATCATCACGGGAAATCATATTATTATCACTATCATTACTTAATGTGTTTGCACAAGCAATGTTGTCATTAATATTTTCATCATCACAGGAAATCATATTATTATCACTATTATTATAATTTATAGAAGCTTTGGCGTTAGTGAGATCATTTAAGATACTAGAATTATAATCATCGTTAAAAGGAAATATCATGACATCTTTGAGAACAATACCCGTTTCAGACACATTGAAATTGTCATTATCACTGGAAAATGTCAGATTATTATTATGATAATTATTACTGTTCATAAAATTAATATCAATATCAGTATTTACATGACAGTTATTGTCATCATCACAAGAAAATATCACATTATTATCAAACTCACAGTTATTCTTAGAATTATTAGCATTAATGTTATTATTATTGCACAAAAGTGATATATCAATATTAGAATCATTATCATTCGTAGAATTATTGATACTGATATTACTATCTACCGTTTTACAACCATTACTATTATCACAAAAAGATATCACATTATTAAAATCAATATCATTTGCAGAATTGTTAGCATTAATAGTACTATCTACTACATTATGATTTCTATCATTACAGGAAAATGTAATGTTAAGTTTAGTAGCCTTTACTCTATTCTGCTCATTATTAGACTCATTAGAAATTATCATAGCATTATCACAACCAACAATTTTGTTAGAATTATTAGTGACGCAACCTTCATCATTTATTGCATTGTGATCATGTTCATTAGAACATGATGTATCAATATTAGGATCATTATCATTCGTAGAATTATTGATATCACTATGTACTGTTTTGCAACCATTATTGTTCTCATAAGAAAGTATCACATTATCAAAATCAGTATCATTTGCAGAACTGTTAGCATTAATAGTGCTATCTACTACATTATGATTTCTGTCATTACAGGAAAATGTAATGTTAAGTTTAGTAGCCTTTACTCTATTCTGCTCATTATTAGACTCACTAGAAATTATCATAGCATTATCACAACCAACAATTTTCTTAGAATTATTAGTTACACAATTTTCATCATTTATTGCAGTGTGATCATGTTCATTAGAAAATGTCCCGTTGTTATCAAAATCAGTACTATTCGCAGAATTATTGTCATTAATATTATCTACAATGCTATCATTTCCATTATTATCGGCATTATTATTTGTAAAATTATCAGTATTACCAATAATTTTCGTTTTAAATCCGTTATTAGAATCAACGTGTTTTATAAGATAATTGATGTTACTTTGATCATTTGCATTGTGGCCTTGTCCATTATAAAGAAATGATACTACATTATTGTCAAAATCAATAGCATTATTAAATTGTTAGTATTAGTATTCTTTTTAGTATAATTCATATTGATAATGCAAGCATCTTGTGGTATTTCTGTAGTTTCTACAAAAAAAGTATAATTACTGTAAAAAATAGAAATGCAATATATTGCATGTAGTTTTAGAATTATAATACTGTAATACTTACTATTATTATTATTGACAATTAATTTTATGTTTTTCAGAGCAATACGTGGATTATTTGTATTTAAACTTTTAGCAATTGCAAGAAGATCATTTTTATTTTCTGTAACAATAAATATAGTAATTTCAATTATTTATATATAAATAACCAGAAATTAACGCGTTGATGCAAGAATTTAACTGAAAAGAAAATTAAAAAGCAGTGCTAAGTAAAAACTTTAGATTTTTACGACTTAAGTTAATATTAACCTGTTAAAAATCGAATAAAAAGGTTACGTGCTGTTGTGCTCAATATTAACAATATTATTGCAATGAAAACATTTTATATTATTTTAAATAAATATAGAATGGTGATACTTACTATTCTGTGCAATTGTACGTATAATACATGTTTTTTTACGATTCCTAACTGGACATTTTACGCGTCTTCTCTTGTGTTTTATATTTACATGATATTTATGATAATTACAAAAAAATAATATATATCGTGACATTTTTCACTTAATGTGATGCAATCGCGTACAAACGAAACGAAACGATTTTCATTAAATGTAAACCGAAATCTTATATATATTACGCAATTTCTTATGCAATATTGCTAATAAATATGGAAGGTGCCGGTCCCGCCAAATTATAAGTTTGTTCGCATAGCAGGCTCCCCCCCAACATACTTCTCGCTCCAATGCGATCCTATTGGATTATTTGGATATAAAGATGCTTTTATATGATAGCATCAAACGTGTCGGCGCAAAAACTCATTGCGCAAATGTTAAATAAAATAGATTTCAGCTTCTTGCTGCTAATAATAAGATGAATCATACGAGATCATACAATGAATAAGTCGAGATCAAATGAATATTAGCACATATTAGTACTGAAAATTAATATAATATTAATTATAATCATTATATTTATTATATTTATTAATATTATTAGCCACAAGAAGCTATTTTTTTCTTATGTGACATCTGCGCAAACGTAGATGCTTGACGCTTGATGCTACCATGTAAAGGCACCTTTATGGCTCCTGCACACCAGCGCGATGACGCGACACGCGATGCGCGATATCCAATGAGCGTACAGCTTTTTCGCACGTTATATCCGTCGCACTATAGAGTGCGACATCGCAAAAAAGTTGACCAAGTTTGAAGATTTGTAGCGCGCGACGAGCGATTTACTGCGATCCTATCTATAGATGCGATGTCGTTATAAACAAAGAGGATCTCTTTGGTCATAAATAAACGTGCAACGACATTGATCCGAGAGTGATATTGTCATTAAATTATAGAATTGCAATAAATGGTAAATATGCAATAAATGATGTTAGGTTTCGTAATCGCGCATCGCGTTTATATGAATAGGTAGAAAATCCTATTCTCGCGATTCGTCGCATATCGCGTGTCGCGTCATCGCGCTGGTGTTACTGAGACAGAGAGAGAGATTACGGTGGAACGAGTTAAACAGTATTTAGATCATGTGCCGACTGAAAATACAATGGGCACTAATCAACCTTACGCGTGGCCTAGTCAAAGTGTTGTGGAATTAAAGAAGTTGTTTTGATGTACAGGTAATATTTTCAAATTTTTTGATAAAGATAATGCACGATTGTAACATTTGGTAAAAGAAATTTTTGTAATTATATTCGCAGGAACCATTTAGTGCCATCGTTGAAAGAGATAACATTCGTTACTCGACCAGCGGAAAAAATAGGCGTCGTTGGTCGCACCGGTGCTGGAAAAAGTTTGTTACTATCTTCGTTGTTTAGACTGACAGAGATCAGTTCTGGGAGTATATTAATCGACAACGTGAATATTCAAACGTTACAACTGAACACATTAAGGTATTCATAAACTTGCAAAAAATAATCATTGTATGTTAACAGTTGTAAAGAAAAGAAAAACATTCCAGATCCCATTTATCAATTATACCTCAGAATCCGTTTCTTATCTTGGGTACTAATCGAGAGAATGTGGATCCGTTGGATCAGTATACCTATATGCACATATATACAAAACCTTTGAGAAATGTAAAGTGCATTCTTTTTTTCATCGATTGGATGGTTTGGATGCAGTCTTGGATGAAGGTGGTAGTAATCTCAGCACTGGGCAGAGACAATTGTTCTGCTTAGTCAGAGCTGTGCTACACAATGCGAAGGTACTTCTTATCTGTAATATTCGAGAAAGCAATTGTTCGTGTATTAATAACTTGATATTTATTTATCTCTGTGAAATTAGTCTCTTTTTCTTATTTTCTCATTTGCTTTGCTTTTGAATAAAAAATTTTTAAGTACCTCAAATTGAAAAATTATCTTCGTAAATCCAATGTTTAATTATGGGTTCTATGTAACCCCTCATGGATTCTAACAATTATTATTAAGAAACTAGAACTAAGAGTGTAAACATTTTCTGCATTTCTTCTGAAGATAAATATTTCAAAATTAATTTAAATAATTTTTTTTAATTTGCATTTTTTTTACATAATGGGAAATGTCGTTAAGTTATAATCTTTTAGGTATTCAAATTTTAAAAATTTTTGTAATTATCATGTGATAAATATAAAACACAAGACGATACACATTAATTGTTCAGTTAATAGGAATTTTAAGAAAAACATGTATTATATGTATAATTGTACAGAATAGTATCATTATTATATATTTATTTAAAGTAATATAAAATGTTTTCATTGCAATAATATTGTACGTATTAAGTGCATACAACAGCACATAACATATTAATTTGATTTTTGACAGGTTAATATTAATATAAATCGTAAAAAATCTAAAGTTATTACACAGCGCTTTTTAATTTTCTTGTCAGTTAAATTCTTGCATCAATGCGTTAATTTCTGATTACTTATATCTAAATAATTAAAATTACTTTATTTTTATAGAAAGTAAAGACGATTTTTTGGCAATTGTTAATAGTTTAAATAGAAATAATCCACGCATTGTTCTGAGAGATATGATCACAAAGATTAATATATTAATATACTTTGACATAGTGACAAATATAATAGTAAAATATAATACTAAATATAATACTAAAATATAATACTAAATATAATACTAAAATATTATACTAAATATAATACTAAATAATATTAAAGAGAGAATTCACTCTGATTTGATAAATTTATAAAAACTGAAAATATATGAAAAAATCAAAATAAATAGCTTTGCGCAGTGCAGCTTTTCCAACTTTCTTTTTTATAAAATTCTCGCAATGTAACTTAACTTTTAGCTTAATGTGTCATATAATTAATTTCACATATTGCACTTGTAATCATGAATATATATTATCAATAAAAGAATTGTAATAACTACACAGTATTGCTACTCTACATATAATATAAATATATGAAGAAATCAAAATAAATGACTTTGCGCAGTGCAATTTCTCTAACTTCTTTTTTTATAAAATTCTCACAACGTAACTTAACTTTAAGTTTTATGTGTTGAAATAATAAAAATTAGGTATTCTACTTATTTTTTGCAATTTCTTAAATACAAGTAATCTACGTATTATTTTTGAATAAAAAATTAAAATATTTCCGATTTGACTAAATAAATATTTTCTGAAAAAATATTTATTCATTTAGTGACGTTTAATTTTGCGCCTGTTCCCGAGTTCTCGCTTGTACCGCTAACGAGCGAGCTAAATGAGATTAATTAAATGAGGACGCATCGGAAAGTTTATTCGTGCAAACACTCCGGCTTCGCTTATCGGCATCCTGCCTGCATTCGTCCACGTATCGGTCGTAGAATCTCGAAGATTGTGCATCCGACGAGTGGTAGCCGGGAATTAGCAGATATCGTAATAATCGTGTCGCGCGGTCGTGCGGAGCGTCGAAAAGTACGAAACCTTTGTCCGAAACGTATTTCCGTATCGTAGCATTATCTCCTCGTAGCGGCGCTACTCGCCGTCAAGTGCCCCGGAGGTACCGCCGGCGGGCGACGGACTTGGTGAAATCATTCGGTCGTCCGGAGGTGTCGCCCGTCCCGGAGGTGCCGTCCGTCCCCAAGTTGACGCCGGCCGTTATGTGGTGCCGCACGTATAATCACGCCCGTAACGAGCCGTCTCGGTTGCCGCGCGCGTGATTTCGCATCGGGCGAGTGTTCCGTACCGTAATCGCGGTCACCGCAGCTTGCGTGTTGCGTATCATCCGTAATAATTCGAAATATATGTCTCCGACACGTGGGTTTGAGAGACACGTTTCGAGTTAGTAATCGGACAGCGCCCTCATGTCGAGCGAGCGCCGAATAGTAAGTAACTTTCGTCCGAAACGTTTTTACGTAGCTCTCCTCGTTGCGGCGCCGTAAATCGTCGTTAAGTGTTCCGGAGGTACCGCCGGCGGTCGTCTGACTTCGAGAGATCATTCGGTCGTCCGGAGGTGCCGCCCGTCCCGGAGGTGTCGCCGGTCGGCCGTGGTTCCCGGAGGTGTCGCCCGGCCCGGAGGTGTCGTCGCCCGGAGGTGTCGCCCGGCCCGGAGGTGCCGCCCGGCCCGGAGGTGCCGCCGGTCGGCCGTGGTTCCCGGAGGTGTCGCCCGGCCCGGAGGTGCCGCCCGACCCGGAGGTGCCGCCCGGCCCGGAGGTGCCGCCCGGCCCGGAGGTACCGTCGGTGCTTATACCTTATTGTCCCGGCATTTCGTTTGTTTCCTTCTTAATTAATGCTAATTATCGTTGTTTGACATTCGCCATACGGCTATCGTGATAATATTTTATCGTACAATAGGACTTTTCGATCGTTCGCTCTCCGCGACAATGTCTCGATTGAACGCGCCTTTCGGCGCTCGCGCTCGCATACGGCCGTGCGTAGGACCGTGCGTCGCCGACCGCCTGGCCGGCCGGTTGGGTACTATAAGAGATACGTCGCGCTCGGCGCGTCGAACGAGTCGAGCGAGTCCGGACGAGTCGTAAACGTACTTTCTCGAGTCTCTCGCCACTCCGGCGTGTTTCGACCGCTCTCCGTACCGTCGCCGACCGCTTGGCCGGTCGGTTGGGTACTATAAGAGGTAGGAGAGATTAATATTGTACGTGTCGCGCTCTCGACGTTGACAAACGAAGAATCGCCCGAACGGGTCGAGAACGGATTTTGTCGAGTCGCGACTCTGACACGGAGAGAACATTTATATAAAATGTTTGATTTGGAAACCACGAATATATAAAATAATATACGATCGTCGCAGAACGCGCCGCCGCCAAGTCTTCTCATGCTTGGAGGTTGCGTGTCTCGCGAGAACGTACGTTCGACTCTCGCGTCGTCTCGTATTCCTCTTCGCCGGGGATTACGGTGCGGCTCTTCTCGTTCGTCGCCGAACGCGCGCAAAATTAACGCATACTTATTTATTACGAGCACAGCATTGCCACGAGTCGGTGTCGCAAGACCGAATGGCTCTTATGTGGCGCGCACGCCTCTAGTGTGTTGGCCGCGCGGTTCCCTCTCGTTTCGTACGCAGCAGCGGAATCGTCGCGCTTACCGAGCATCTACTCCACGGATACGAGTTTGCGGGAAGAGTTGCTTCTTCCCGCTCGCTTTGTACGCCGTAGCGAAATCTTATTGCTGGTCGTGTGCGGTTAAACGCGTACGAACCAGACAGAACAGTCCTCGACGTCTAAGCATCGCCATCGTCGATCTAGCGTCAGGGTGAATCGCGCGGTCTCTCGAGACCGCGCATCATAACATTTGGGAGAATAAGAACACGAGTATTTTGATCTTGTGGATTTTTGAACGGAGAGGAGGAGGAAGAAGAGGAGAGGCGGCGGCGTCGGGGGTTTACTCTCGCCTCCGTCGTTCTCTCGTACGCTTTACATAATAGCGTTAAACACAGCAGAGTGTCGCCGACCGGCTGAGCAAGACCGGCGGCAAATAAAATGGCACATACGAGCGTGTCGCGCGCGCGTCGGTGTTTCGGCATCGAACGCGCGCGCGCGCGAAAAAGAGCTAGCGACGAGTCTTCGGGCTCGCTCGCGAGTTACTCCCTTGCGAGTAACCGAACACGAAGCTCCCTGGTTGATCCTGCCAGTAGTCATATGCTTGTCTCAAAGATTAAGCCATGCATGTCTCAGTGCATGCCGAATTAAGGTGAAACCGCGAATGGCTCATTAAATCAGTTATGGTTCATTAGATTGTACCCACATTTACTTGGATAACTGTGGTAATTCTAGAGCTAATACATGCAAAACAGAGTCCCGACCAGTGATGGAAGGGACGCTTTTATTAGATCAAAACCAATCGGTGGCGGGCGGCTCGCCGTTCGTCCACCGTTTATTTTGGTGACTCTGAATAACTTTGTGCTGATCGCACGGTCCTAGCACCGGCGACGCATCTTTCAAATGTCTGCCTTATCAACTGTCGATGGTAGGTTCTGCGCCTACCATGGTTGTAACGGGTAACGGGGAATCAGGGTTCGATTCCGGAGAGGGAGCCTGAGAAACGGCTACCACATCCAAGGAAGGCAGCAGGCGCGCAAATTACCCACTCCCGGCACGGGGAGGTAGTGACGAAAAATAACGATACGGGACTCATCCGAGGCCCCGTAATCGGAATGAGTACACTTTAAATCCTTTAACGAGGATCCATTGGAGGGCAAGTCTGGTGCCAGCAGCCGCGGTAATTCCAGCTCCAATAGCGTATATTAAAGTTGTTGCGGTTAAAAAGCTCGTAGTTGAATCTGTGTCGCACACCGTCGGTTCACCGCTCGCGGTGTTTAACTGGCGTGATGTGGGACGTCCTACCGGTGGGCTTAGCCTCGCGAGGGGCGGCCCAACTAATATCCCGTCGCGGTGCTCTTTACTGAGTGTCGAGTCGGGCCGGTACGTTTACTTTGAACAAATTAGAGTGCTTAAAGCAGGCTACCTTCGCCTGAATACTGCGTGCATGGAATAATGGAATAGGACCTCGATTCTATTTTGTTGGT